CTAGGTTAAGCATGTCCCTTAACAAGATTTATAGAGTATCCATATTTATGGTCATTCAGTTTTGGACAATGTTTGATTCATAATAAAGTACTCGACTCCACATCTAGGATCCATAGTGGTTTTAGGTTGAAGGATGATATACACCACTATTTCTTTGAGAATAATTAATGACACTTGCATAACATTCTATATAGTATTCTTATAGTAGGTAACTCTAGTATAAATATTACTCATAATATTAACACCTATGTGAAGACTCGATAACTCTTTATCCATGATCTATAAGATGTGGTCATCAACTTATCCTCGTAATAGTCTTAATTCTTTAATATTATCCCACTTCACGATAAAGCTTAACTATAGATACTTTAATAATAATGTCTTTATGTTTAATGAGATCTCACGATAAGTCACGCTTAATGTTTAATTAAACAAATTAACTATTCTAGGGACTTTATTATTTTGGAAAAAAGTAAACATAACAAAGAAAATTTTCTTATTATTAATAGATAACTAGATGCAAGAACTAAGTTCTAATAAAATTATTTGCCTTTAGGTCTTAAATCAATAATCTCTCACTAGCACTATAGCCAATCAGACATACACCTAATACTCATAGATCTAGAATGATCATCATGTTTCTAATGCACAAGACGCTTTGTTAGTGGGTAAGTGACATTGCCAAGTGTCAGTACTCTGTATATATTCACATATCTTATATCTATTATCTTTCAAATGAGGTTATATAGCCTAATTATGTGCTTGTATCTACGGTGATATCTAAACTCCTTAGCTTGTGCAAGGGCACCATTATTATCACAATAGAGGTCAATGAGATCCACATTGCTCATGACTATTCTAAGTTCCATAATGAACTTCTTGATCCAAACAACTTCCTTTGTTGCATTTAAGGCAAAAATATATTCGGTCTCAGTTGTAGAATCAATAAATTTATCTTGCTTTAAACTTCTCTAGCTCACATTGCCATCATTCAATCAAAACATATAATCAAATTACAATATAAAGACATCCTTATTTATATGGAAGCTAGCATTGGTGAATCCAAATACAACGAGCTCTTTTTGACCTCTATATATCAAGAATGATTCCTTAGTTCTTCTCAAGTACATAATTATATTCATGATAACAACACAATGAGCATCATCGAGATCATACTGGTACCTACTTATTACACTTAAAGCATACAAGACATTTGGTCGAGTACATAACATGCAAGATAAATCATATTGCAGATGTATATGAGATCTTATTCATGCGATCCATTTCTTCCTTAGTTGAAGGTGATTGTGTTTTTCATAGACACAAGCCATGATGCATAGGTATGAATTCTTTTTAGAATCATGCATATTAAAGCATTTCAGCACTTTATTTATGTATATACTCTGACTTTGGCTAAACAATTTTTATGATCTATCTCTATACATTCTAATTCCCAATATATAGGTTGCTCACCCAATTCCTTCATATAAAAGCATTTTCCTAGCCAAGTTTTCACTTGCTGCAAGGTAGGGATATCATTTTCAATGAGTAATATTCTATCTACTTATAACATAAGGAAGAAAATCATGCTCCCATTAACCTTCTTGTAGACAAAGGATCATATTCATTTATAATGAATCCATATTGTTTTACCATTTCATCAAAATGAAGATTCCAACTTTCTAAAGCTTGCTTCAATTCATATACTGATCTATGTAACTTGAATTTATTTTGGCTTCTTCTGGTATGTCAAGCCCTTCAGATTGTGTCATGTACACATTCTCAAGAAGATTCCACATTAAGAAAATCATTCTTGACATCTATCTGCCATATTTTATAATCATGATATGCAGCGATAACAACTAAAATTTGAACAAAAGTAAGCATTACAACTGGTGAAAAGGTTTCATTATAGTCTACACCATGACTTTTCTTATATCCCTTAGCAACCAGTATTGTCTTATAGGTATGTGTCTTACCATCCATGTCAGTCTTATTTTTGAAGACCCATTTTCATCTTAGGAGATTAACTCCTACAAGAGGCTCTATCAAGGTCCAAACCTGATTTGTGTACATGGAATCCATTTCAAAATTTGTTGTATTGTTGTTACATGTGTTTTTTAATCTATAGTTGACATTCATATTTTCACTATGTTTCTAACTGAATGATTTTGTAATTTCATTGTGTATTCAATCTTACAAAATTAAGAAATATACAGATTTAAGTATGCAAGACAACTCTTGGGATATTAGGATTACACCACCACTAATTCATGTCATAACTAAACCTCGCTTGTCTTTGATTTTAACCACCACCACATGAGTAATTTAATATGCTCAACAATAGACTCAAGAATTACATCCTTACCACTAAGTATATAACTTATGTTTTTCAAATCAATCTACACATGAGAACCAAATTATTCATAAATTGATTTTTAGTTAGATACATGTAACTATTAGAATGTTGCACATGAGTTGAAGTGCTATTTTGAGAGGGTAATAGATATCCCTCACCATTTCAAAATTTCACTACACTCTATATGTCATTACTCACATACCCTTGTGAAAAGAAAAAAAATACTCCTTTCACATCGTCTGAAGTTTAAAAATTGAATGCATCCCGACACTACAAACTCAATATTAGAACCGCGTCAAAGGCAAGTAAAGAATATGTCTGGAGATTGAAATCTAGATTCACCCCTATGGTATCACATAATACAAATCCAATAGAGTTTCAGGGAGTTTGTATGAATATTGAAATCTAGATCTACCCCTTTGTCATCACATATACACATAATACACAACCAATAATGTCTCAAGGGTTTGTTCTTAAAATCCGAATTCACCATATGGTATCACAAACATAAATTTTATAACATAACTTTAACATAGATCTTTTTTATCACATACACAAAATATATAACATAATTTAACATAAATCTAAAACATTAACATAACTTAGATGCATCATAAGATTAACTTAACATTTCATCACTAATAGATGGCTCAATACATTTCATCATTTTTAGAATAATGTTAGTTGATCTTGCAAGTGTCACATCTACCTCGTTTGGATCCTTAGTTATGTAACAACAAAATATACTTCACATAACACTTACATATACATCATATTCAACTCAAACTTATTGAACTTAGTCTTCCCTTCATAATCAACTGTGGGTGGATGATACTCAATCTTAGCCACTCTTCGATCGTTGATGTAGTGTAAGAGATTCTCTATTTTGGATTTAAGATCTATAAGATAGGTGTTCTCTGTGAATCGAAATTCAAAAGGAGACATCATGCCATTGAAGTAAACAAGTGCAATATATCAATATTTATTCATTTTAGAGTATTTGTGTTAACAACATATGAGACATATTTATACAAGTTTTAGATCATTATGGACCATATAAATGCAATATTGTCTTAAGGGTTGGTCCAAATATTGAAATTCAAATTCACCCTTATCATTTACGAAGCAGACACAAGTAGGCTTGTCCTAGAGGTGTGTCTAGAGATTGAAATCCAGATTCACCCTATTTTTTTCATTTACGAGGCAAACACAACTATCACACTGATAATTGCCTTTGAACCTCCTAACTACCTATGCTGAGAGTCTTTGATTGATTTCTATAGTGTTTTTGAGACATTCTTGGTTTCAATAACTCTTAGAATAAAAATACGCTAAGTCTCCAATGTTTGATAAATGTGTCGAACTCGACACATTTTTGATAAAATGATTTTTGTAAACTTTTTCAAGATTCTGGACATGTTTTGAAGAGAGAACGATTCTAATCTTGTGGATTTGTTCTTAAGAATCCTCCAAACTAAGCCTAGTAAGTTAGTCAAGCCATCTTGGTTAACGTGACTAGTGTGTTGAAGACTGGGTCTCTTCACACTTAGTTATTTACAAATATGGTTATTATCATTCTCTGTCGAATCCTTCAACTAGAAGTTCCAGGCTAACAGATGCCATTCAAAAAAGCCATTTTCGATCATATATTATAATATGGAAGAAATGTGGTATTTTTAGTAACTGCTCGATACTATTCAGGATAAACTGCACACATTAGTCATCATGACCACTTTTCACCAAATCGTCACGTCAAGGGCATGCGTGCAGATTGTTATCACCACTATGATTTCCTAAGACAATCATGGGTCACCTTATCAAATTATATTAAAATAAATCATTTAATTTTAATTTTCCCCCAAAAATTAAATGCCATTTGTCGATTGCGAGATGTCACTTATCCAAATTCTTCTTAGAGAGAAACTTAAAAGCTTTCTCCTTGTGACTATATATACACCCCTTCTTCATTTCTTTCTCTTTTTTGCTGTCTTCTTCTTTTTCAGAGAAACTTTCACTCTCTCAACAAGATTTCTCATTCAAAAGTTTCTCAAGAAACAACAATGGCTTCTGGTTCAATCACCAAACGTCAACCCCAAGTTCCTTCTGCTACCAAAATCAAAGGTCCCATTCTCAAATATGGTCGAACCTACGTCCATGAACCTCCATTGTAAGAGGAGAAGACTATTATCTGGCTTTCTTAGGTACTCATCCCTTACTCTCTTATAGGTAATGTTCATGCTTTCATGGGTCCCTTACCCAAATCCAATAAGAGACCATATGATTTGGAGATATTTTTTCCCCAGTTTCTTACCATGTAAACCTTTGGTGATTGAGGATGAAACTTTTGAACTAAGTGAAAATCTGTTCTCAAGAGGACAAATGTTGGACACGATATTTAAGACAATATATACAACTGAGTTATGACAGTTTAACTTATACAAAAAGATGAAGCAGGAAAGCAATAAAGAACACAATAATCATTAACCCAGTTCAGTACAAACCACACCTACATCTGTGGGGCGTCCAACAAAGAAAGGAAACTCACTATAAATAATATTAGTACACTTAGTTTTACATGAACACACCTTGTTTGAAACCTCTTCCTAATACTACCTAATGGCTTTTTATTTATGACCCCCTAAATATGAGAACCCCTCTCACTTTCTTTGCTGCATCACCTTTAACCAGAGTTTTTGGAATTTGTTTATGCTTCTTTATAACACTTTTTATCCTACCTTTTCTTCCATTGCCATCATCTTGTTTATCCCCCATGTCAAATCAATCATCTAACCCAAGATTCATCTCTTTCTCACTATCATTAAATGTTATACCATTAGCTTCATAATCACTATCATCAGTATCATACTTCCATCACTATGTTCATCTTCATTATTAACTCCACCATCATATTGTGCATCTTGTCGCGGGTGGAAAAATCAAAGAGTCCCCACCATTAATTATTCGTCCTAAAGACAAGAAAGATAACGGGAAAACCCTAGGGTAATGACAAGATGGTCATCGCAACCGAATAAAGGTTCGGGAGTTAGTTAAATGAAGGGAAGATGTTAGGCACCCTCACCTCCCTTGTACTAAAGGGGAACCTTCTCCAGGTTTAGGGTCAAAGTGCGTTTGTCTAAGGTTTCTTGATTTTAGTTATTTCTTGCTTGCTTTTATTTACAAAGAGAAGAGAATTGTACAATGAGTAAAATGAGAAAAGGTTAGTTTTAGGTTAGGGGATCCGCTTTGGTTTTACAATCGTGTTCCTACGTATCTTCAAGAGATGAAAGAAATCAAAGTCAATTGTAATTCATCTAAATTTTATTGGTTGGTTAATTTTAGTTTATGAAAAAATATTTGTCTTGAATTAATCGCACGAGGGAGGGAGTTAGTTTATCGCATGGAGCGAAAGAAGATTGATTTTATCGCACAGAGCAAAAACTTAGTTTGATAAGTTTGATGGATTTTAGTTTGGGATATTTTTTTTCTTGTCTTTTTATTTTTTTAGTTAATAATAATTTATATACAAAGAGTCTATTTTTGTCATTTTTTAATTAAATAAAATAAAGCGTTTTTTTTTGTTTGTATTTTTTAGTAATGAAACAAAATTGAATAAATTAATAAACTAAGTCAATTAAATAATTAATAAAAATAGACTCACTAAATTAAATGACTTAACAGATCCTAAAGGGTGTGAAAGTAAATCATGAAGGAGCAAACAAAATAGGCCTTAACCTAGTGTATGAGTGCAATGCTAATTCTTACTATTTCTAATCCTAATGTACTTAATTAAAATGAATAATATAAAAAATTAAAAAGAAGTACATACTGGAGGGAGGGCGTCTCCTTTGTGTGCGTCAAGGTGCAGTTCCAGCGTGAATGGAGGAAGGGACGTTGTTGTCATCGTTTGGGGTGGCTGCTGGATCGGAGTGCGATAGCTATTAGACGGAGTCGTGTGAAAAAAGCGAATCGACGCTCGAATAGCGATAACAGCGGTACCTGCACAACAAACAGAGACAACAACACATAAATATTTGATGATTGATGAGAAACAGAGATGAGATTGTGCACATCGAGAGTGGTTTTCGCGGCGGCAACAGAGGCAATGCGTAGAAGGTGATTGTGCAAAGGTTGTTTTACGGTTGTGAACGTCATACCGAGTACGTCGAAGCCCAAATCATCAAACCTAGTCAAAACTTGATAGAAGGATTTGAATTGATACAACTTCGACTTGCTCCTTCTTCTTTTTTTTGTTTTTTGTTTTGTTTTGGTTTTGTTTTTGTTGGAATTTTAGTGATGTGCTTGATTTTGTTCAGGTTTGTGATTGATTGGAGTTGTTGTTTTCAGACCGGGTAAAATGGTTGAAGGAACATGTTAGTGTTTAGTATTTGTGAATAGTTTATGTTTTGAGCCAAGGAATTGGCTTAGGTGAGGTAGTAATGGTTTGTTTTCATAGTTTTGGTTTGAAGAATTACGAAGGTTTACTCTAAAGGTTTTGGTTTGAAAGATGATAATGGTTTTGGTTTGAAAGATGATGATGGTTTTTACGAAAGCTACGCGCAAATGTTTTGACTTTAGAAAAAAAATGTGTATATTGAAATTGTGGTACTTGCAATATAAATATCAAGATTGATGTCTTAATACAGAAACACGATGTCAAGACAGTTGTTACGATATATGTTTCTGATACAGAACAATAACATCAAAATGTAAAATATGCAGAAAGATAAATTGCAGAATTATAAATAACACAACTGATTGTTAATTCATTTCAGTACAATGTCACATACTCTGGGGGCTATCAAGACAAGAAGGAAATTCACTATGATAGTACTAATTCAAAGCCTAAACAATCTCAGTTTACAACTTCTTGCATAATCACTACCTTGTGCAACTTCTACCTAGAAATCACCATCTAGATATGAGATCCCCCTCTCACTTTCTACCACTTCTACCTAGAAATCACCATCTAGATATGAGATCCCCCTCTCACTTTCTACCAATCACTTTAGTGATAAAATACAGCCACAAACCTTGTGACTAGAATCAGAACCAAAAGATTACACTTTCAATAAACAATACTCAAGTCTTTGCTTAAAAGCTCATGAGTGAGAACGATACTTAGTTTTGCTTAAAAGCTTCAACAAAGAACAATAACTTGACAAACAATCAAGTAACATACAATCTACCACATTGTATCAAAAGATGTATATGTGACTTACAAAAATACGAGAGACTCTCAAAACCTAATACTTTAGACTTCCCCTAGTTTCACAATTTGTGAAAGTTAAATTACATTAGATCTAGATTTCTCTTTAAATACACCTAAGTAGTCTGTGGACTTTGAAATCTTCACCCAAACATATCTTGATCCACAAACTGATGACTGCATAATTTATGCAGAAAAATCTCCTTAAATCTTGAAACAAAACACAAAGTTTCCTAAATTGTCTCAACATCCAATTTTAGAAACTTATGTACAACTGAAGATTAGATCACTTGTTCCAGATTAAATCTTCTTGACATGCGAAAGTTTTAAAGATATATCCAAAAGAAATATCACAAAATCAAATTAAATATGTCAAGATTTAAAACAACCTATACTGATGTTTTGGTTCAACATGTCACAACATATGTCAAAACATCTGTCTTCAATGCAACCTTCACACTTTGTTGTATCAGTTTGATCAAGATGTTATGACCTCTTGTCCAGCATCTGTCATGAACTATGTTTTAGCAAAATTTCTACCAATCCTAAGACCATGGATCTAACAATCCCTTCCTTTGATAAATTTTGGCTAAAACAACCTTAGCACTATTAAATTGGAGAGAAGAATAAAACCATATTAATAAAATAAAGCTACATGCAAACATGTAAACTTTGTACAAAATAAACTGTATAAAAAATAACATGTATCAGAGATAATATATTGTTTCAGAACTATCCAAGAATACTCCCCGTGTCACAAGGAACCAATTCTTGTCAGAGAACCAATTCTCCCTCTCAAGAGGAAAATTCAAATCAACAGAGGAAGAAGAAATTTTTCAGAGGAAGAAGAAATTTTTTCTAAAGCACAAGAAAACCAACATGAACTCAACCTTGAACTATCAGAGTTCAAGACATTAGAAGAACATGCAGCATAAGCAGCACACATAATTCAGAATACAAGAATCCTAAACTCCCATAAACCCAGTCACAAGACACAACAAACAGGATGTTACAACATCCGGTAGAACATCATGCACACAACCACAACAAAAGTAACATCACAAGACCCACATGACAGACAATTATGTCCCTCCTAAGATGTTGCATACATCAAGCAACAATACTAGACTACACTCATTAACATTTTTCTCCCCCTTTTTAGTCAAAATTTGACAAAAACATAGTGAAAATAAATTGAAACTAAAAGAACCAAAAGAAGACACACACAAAAACTGATGCAAAATAAACTGACCCAACAAGAGTGCAAAGAAAAAGTTGGAAACAGAAGGAAATCATACTCACTCAAAGAGACAAAAACTAAGGAAACAAAAAAATGACTCTACTAACAAAAAGACACAAATAGCACATACTCAAACAAAAACACAATTTTCTTGTTTTTGCATAAAAGATAGAAGACAACAACTATCCAATTCTCCCTCCTGCGTCAATGATATTGACCCAATCTTCATCAGCATCTGAATCAGAATCATGTATTTGCATATGATTTTTCTTGAGGGACTTCATCTTAGTTACATATGTTTTCTCTTTCCTGGATGTTCCATTAGATGTTCCAACATTTGTTACAATATTAGACTCAACCTTCTTTGAACCAAAACTCATGTCCTTCTTGGTTTCCAACAACTGGATCTTCTTTGTATCAACCTTTTTGGAAGATTTGCTCGTGTTGAAATGCAACTTGTGAGGTAGTAAGGTATTCAAATACAAGGAGAGTTACCTTGTTTGTAAAGAAACCTTACTTGTAATGATAGACCAATCAATGAGAACATTATTGGAAGGAGATAAAATTATCTTTATCAAGAGTACACCACTTACAGTAAGAGAAAGACATGTTATTATTCAACTTTCTCTCTTTCCAAGCTTTGACTGTTGGAACTGTTTACAACATTTAAAATGATATTCTCTATGCCATTGAAAATATTTCTCATAAGATTACACGTGTTACTAGATGAAGGAATATAGTTGGAAAACCGACCAAACAGTTACTACTATAATTCTTCAGCAGTGTAATTCCAAAATTACCCCTCACATTCTCAATGTAACTTGCACCTCAAGTTTTGATGAAATTACTACATAGAGCTTCTCAGACATACCAAGCTTAGGAGTTCCAATATTTGGCTATAGCAAGATCCCTAACATAATTTTGACTAATACCAATGGCTTTTCTCTGCAAGCAGATTAAAAATCTTGAGTACCTTAATTGTAACAACTTGTCACGTTACAATGTCATGAAATTCTATTTGATATAGTACTATTTTAGCAACCAACTCAATTTATAATACATCTTCCTTCAACAATGTACATATCCTTAAAGATAAACCTGAATTAAATTATTTATGATCCAAGAGACATGATTGTTTCTCAAAACAGAGCATCCTTCATTCATACTATGTTCATTAGACTTGGCCAATAGCTTTTAATCCAAGACTCATCATCATTATATATTTCATCTTTAAACTATTGATGATAATAAATTCTAATAAACTCCAAATAAAGAACTCCTTTTTTGATAATATTTTATTTTCTTAAGAATTTTCTTATTCGGTGTCTACTAGCTTTTTAGAGTCTCTCACATTTTCTAGAGTATCAAATTGCTGAGGTGATGTTTCAACATCTGGTTGAACATCAATTCCTTTCTCAATGAATAAATAATTGATTTTGGTCTTGAAGTTAACATTACTAAAAGTACTTCTCTCAATAGGGTAACTCAAAAGCATACCTTGTTCTTTTTCAAGTATTGGATAAGAACCTTTGAAGACTTCACAAATAATAGATTCTTATATATATATATATATATATATATATATATATATATATATATATATATATATATATATATATATATATATATATATATATATATATATATATATATATATATATATATATATATATATATATATATATATATATATATATATATATATATATATATATATATATATATATATATATATATATATATATATATATATATATATCCACCATGACACTCACCTTTCATTAGACTAATCAGATCCATAGAATAAGTTATAGAGCATTTGCACTTGTCTGATGTGGCACCTTATGGTGTAACATCTTGACTTCATTTTCCTTGAACATCAAGCAAGAGGATAAGAAATCAAATACTTGTGGAATCCACAAATATCAACTCTTTTTAAATCCTTAATAGAACTTCAAATATCACATTAAGATAAAACATTCTTCCTTGATGACATTTACCTTCAGACCTTGATCGCACAACTGACTTATGTATAAAACAATAGCCATCAGTCTTTTAGTAAGAAGAACATGACCAAAACTTAGATAATTCATCATGTACTCTCCAGTTATCCAATTCCATTAATCTCCCTTTTTAGCATCATCACCAAAAGTAACATTTGATATAGTGAGACTAAACAAACCACCAGAAACACCTTTACTGCAGTTAAGTGTCTAATGTTGTACCCCAAAAATTTTCCTCTTCATTTTAACCCTAATTAGCTTATATTTTATAATCAAATTCATACATACATTCTATAAGGTCCATGCTCATGGAATCAAAGGTTTTCTTTGTAAAAAGAACTATGAAAGACAAATGTTCCATTAAGCAGCATTGTGAAGCAAAAATCAGGGTTTTCAGGTTTTTAATGCACCTCCACGTATTCCAAAATACCCAATCAACAACCAAGCAAGTCATCTTCATATTAAGCTCTTATGTGTCTCAACACACTCTAAATTGTGTAGAAATTCAAGCGTTTAAGTTGATTTGAGACAGTTCAGACAGAAATCCAGTACAGTGCGTTTCAAGTTCAAAAATTCATAACTCGAGTTCAGAGAATGGTTTAGGATTTATTCTTCAGTCATTAGAACCATATTAAAGTCTTATTCATTTCATCTGTTCACGTTGAAGGTTAATTTTATGAGGAATATTTTCTAAAGCGCAAAATACTTGATATGCAGTATATAGTGGATTTACCGTTTCTTTGATTTTCAGATGCTTAAAAATTCATAACTTCTGACTGGAAAATCATCTTTGAGTGTCTCCTAGAGAATTTGAATCTTCTTGTTATTTCCTTAAATTTTCATGTTCGGCTCGAAAGCCAATTCTTTGAGGAAGATCTTCTAATGCGCGAGTACTTTGAAGCTAAATAATGAAAGAATAGTGAAAATACTGTGTTGAACCGTTATTTTTCAGACATTCAAAAATTCATAACTATTTCTCGGTTCTAGGTTTTTGAGTGGTTCTTTGGGAGAAAAATCCGTCTTGATTTTATCTTCAATTTGTATGTTCGGGTCGAGAGCTAATTCTTTGCAGAAGATCTCTGAAAGTGCGAATTTCCAAAGATTTCTACTGTGGAAAAACATTGACAGAAATTTATTTTCTCGATGTGGAGAAAATCATAACTGTCTCAGTTTTTATCATATCAGGCTGGTTCTCTAAGCGTTTGATTTCAAATTTTGTTAACTACAACTTTGCTTCATACCCCGAGTTCGAACGGTGCTCCGAGGCTTCCGTTTATGGTCCGTTTCACAAATGGAACAATGAAATACATTGCTGAATCGAAAGACATAGCATCAGAGCCAATTCTAAAATTCATAACTCGCTCAATTTTTATTGTGTCACATCCCTTATTTTGGTATCGCGTCATAAATTTTGTCGTCTTCGATTTTGCTTTAGGGCTCGAGTCGAGATTTAGCACCGAACAATGACTTTGTATTTTTACCTTGCGTTGTACATAGAATATGCTGACACTGTCAAAACAATGTCCAATCCAAATCCAAATCCAAGGCCCAATTGGTGGAACTATATATTGATTTTTTCTTCACAAATCAAGGAAACAATTCATTTTCTAAATTTCTCCAAAGAACTTCCACTCATTCTCAAAAACCTCTCAAATTGATATCTCCATTCTCAAAAAGATCAAAACCAACTCTCTCAACTTTTTCTCAAGATCTTCATCCATCTTCATCAAAATCTCAATATCCAAAAAATCAAAAACTCATAAACTCCATCAATTTTATTCTCCCCCCAGTGATCGAAGCCACCGCTAATACTCCCTCCGACTGCAGTGATTCCGTGATCAACTCCTCCCTCTGATTCCGTTAGTTTCCGACAGAACTTCTCCTTCCTCCGATTCAATTTTCCGGCCAGCTCTTCACCTTCTTCAACTCTTCACTTTCGGCAACTATTCCTCTTTTCTTGATTTAATTTGTGAATTGATTCATGATATTAGTTGTTTAAATTGAATTTATGTTATAAGCACGAGTTGAATATTTGTTTGTAGCTTAGGTGTTTGATTAAATGCTTGAGAGATAATTACACAATGTAATTTGGATTGAGATAGTAAATCTTGAAATTGAATTTTGAGAAGTTGCTTGAAGTTGTTTGATAATGAAGATAAGAGGAATTAGTTGAACTTTATGTGAATTCATGAGTTATTTTGATTCTTGAATTATCCATAAGCATTGAGTTGATTTTAATTAATTTCATGAGTTGAACATTTTGAGAATATGCTTAAATCTTGAACCAGTAAATCAATGTTCTTTCTGGATTATAACTTTTGATGTTGAAGTATACCGGTATTTTTCGATTCTTGAATTGTGATGAAGATTAGGTGCAATTTCATGAGTTAATGTAATTTGATACCGGTTTGTTGATGAATTGAATTTTTCGACATTGAAAACCTAAAATCGGTTGAAATTACATTAACACATGATTATTGGTTTATGCTTGGAATTAAAGCACTTGATGTGATTTAGTCGTTTGTAACATGTTTACAATTCCTAAGCAATAATACTTGAACCGAAAAATGTGTTTTGTGACCATTTTCAAATTGTTGAAATTGATTTTGATCATAAATCGTTCAAGTATATATGGCTGTCTGAAAACGTAAACATGTCGCAAATTTCTTTTCATGATTCATTTGAGTCTTGTTCGCACATGTTTATGCATTTATGGACCATTTGTGTTGAGAAATACCGTTTGCGATGTGATTTTTCGAGCCATTCTTTGATACGGCACGATGCAGCCCAATTATGGTAAGTTGAGCATAAGGTTGGACTTAATTTATGGTTAATGCTCATGGTACTTAGTGTTAGTATTTGGATGGCGTTTGTGCCAAGTTTAACCGTTTTCGGATTGATTTTTCATGCGGTTCAAGTATTAATGGCAAGGCTGCCCGGGATTGGTAAGTTGCACTTGCACTTGGATTTAATTCATGGTTGATACTTAGTTGATCTTGTTAGTACGTTTGGAGGCTACCGTACCGTTTTCATGCATTTTTGTTCCGACTTTTCGTGCATGTTAAATTTGAATACAATGCTGTCCAGTTTTCCATTTAACATGTGCGTTGAGTTTTAATATTCATATGATGTATGTTTGCACTTCATTGGTTAATTATCGGACATTGTTGTTGAGTTGACTTGATTTTATTATGTTTTTCGAGTTAGTTCTTCAAATGACGGAGGTGTTGCCCCAGTTTTATAAAGTGTACTCGGATTGAGTTTTAATTATTTGTTTATGCATCATTGCATTTGTATTAGTCTTTGTTATACATTTGCATCGATTTGAAGTTATTTTGAATCGATATTCCGTGTGATTCATGTTATAATGTACATGTTGTCCCGTATTTGGTTTTGCGTCTCCATTGCTTTTTTAATCTTGCCTAATGCATGACATTATGTCATTTCGAGTTATGGTGTTGATTGTTTAATCGCAATTGATATTCCTTGTTATTTGCTAACTCAGTTTTGTGGCTTTGTGAAAGTTTCCAAAGGCATTATCGTGTGATATACGACGCTCAGATTCTAGTCTTGTTATATAGACTTATCTTGTGCAGGAACATTGTAGTCTTGTAGTAGAGACTCGTTTTGTGCAGTCCATTGATTTGGCGCAAAACATTACTCTTGCTTGTGACTTATGATCGCATTGTGATATTGGATTCACATTGGATATTGTATCTAATTTGATTTTTTTGTTGATGCTAACTTGCTCGAAGACCTTGGGTTTCTTGGCTTGTATTTTCTATATAACTGACTCTTATCCATTTGGTACATTTCCTGCTTATTTTTCAGCATTTGTTTACTACTTTTCTGATGCCATGAGAAGTAGGTTAGAGATGCATGTTCTGAGAGTCCCTTTGAGGAAAATCTGGTTTATTTAAAGACATGTTTAAGGCAATTCTTACCTGTGCTTGTTTATCATTTTGTGTGTTTACATTTAGGCTAAAGACCTCAATGAAGGTGTCATATTCCCATTCCCCATTGATAAGTCCTCAAAAGGAGGCATAGGCGACAGAGCATCCACAATCGACCTCGCCATTTCTTGTATGTGTCATTCGTAGCACGTGCCATGCGTTGATGCTATGAACTGTGTTGCTCATCTTATCGAGTCGGTCAGGTTGAATACAAGGATTTATAACCAGTCCCCCACACTTTGTTTTTAGCTCGCATTTGTGAAACATCTATTCTGTGATGTGATCTCATATTGCCTTATACCGCTTACCTCTGTGAGCAACCCCTTCATAGATTGATTTTGAATGATTGCAAATATATATAAAAATATAATATAACATGTTTGAATAAGCCAAAATTACATTTCTCTCATAATGCATCATTATGAGTCGACACATCAAGTTTTGTATCGATACATAGCTTTCTGAAGTCCCTGGAATTGTATCTCAAAACTATTATGTATCGATACAAAAGCTTATGAGTCGATACATAACTCTTTGATGACCCTGAAATGTAAATCTAAAAACTGCATGCATCGATACATAAATTTCATGCATCGACACATAATATTTTGATGCCCCTGTAATACTTGTATGAATCGACACAAAACCTTATGTATTGACATAAAACATTCTGATGATCCTGGAAAATGTTTTGAAACTTATATGTATCGATACATAATATCATGTGTCGACTCATACTATGTTTTAAATTCAAAAGTTAAATTTACAATCAGTATGTATCGGCACATACACATTATGTGTCGACGAGTATAAAAGTGTTGGTTCTGTAAAACGCTATAACATGATTTTGTATCGACTCAAAACATAATGTATCGACTCTGAAGAAGTGAAAAACACAAGAAGGGGGGTTGAATTGTAAAACTGAAAATCAATTGCAATGAACACGATATTTTTATCCTAGTTCGTTTGATCTCAAACTACTCAAGTCCACCCGTCAAGGTGATTTCGCCTCTCTCCAACGAAGTCTTAATCCACTATATTCAACTGAATATTACAATCTGCTTTAACAACTGCTAAAGCCTTCTTGATGCAAACCACAAACCGGTTTGTCAAGGAATCACTTTCTTACAAAGAATAGAAATCTAGGTGTGTGAATGTTTTCTACAAAACTGTTTATCACAACTGTGATATTACACAACTTAAGCTTATGGAAACTAGATTGCTAAAATATTGAGTAAGGAATTTTTGGAGCTTTTAGCAAACTGAGAATGAGAAGATGATGAATAGCTTTTAGGCGTGTAAATTGATGTAGAGCATTAGCCAATTTAATCTTCGTTTTCTTGTTTATATAGCATTGGATTTGATGAACGTTGGAGCAATAATCTTGATTCAATGCCAATAACAAACTTTCCTTATTAAGCAGATCTTGTCTGGAATGATACCGTTGGTAATAATTCGCTTTGAATGCACAGTACCGTTGCTACTTAAAGCGTGTTCTGGCTTTGGCTCATTCTGACTCTGCTTAAGTGCTGATGAACTGTTGTTGTTTTTATCAGAGTGTTGAGCGCAGTTCTGTTCATCAAGCTTCAGCATTCGCGTGAGTTGTTCTTCTGATTCTGGTATTCTGATATAGCATCTTCTGATGCTGATGTTGATAACCAATATTCTGATGCTGATTATGATGTACTTTTGCTGATACCTATCAGAGTTTCTGCAAAACAGAAAGGTAATTTTTAGGTAGCAAATAGTTCTTACATGAATCACATAATTAATATATCATTTCATTTTGTTATCATCAAAACTTAAACTTAGGGTAGTAGATTCAAACTTTGTTCTAACAATCTCCCCCTTTTTGATGATGACAAAAACTAGATATTTTTAATTGAAAATAACGTGGAAAAGTATCAGAGATAACTAAATGATAAGATGTATCAGAGTAAGAAGTTATCAAAGATAAGGGATAAAGAGATATCAGAGTTGGGATCGGAGGTACTCCCCCTGAATTTATAACTTCCCTTTTTAATTCCAAGAGTTCTTCAGGATCAGATCTTTATTGACTTTCTTTGAACATCAGAATATCAGAGCTTTGACTATCGGAAGCTTTAGATCATAATATCAGAGCAGAGCTTCAGATCAGAGTATCAGAGCTTTGCTTTGGATCAGAGTATCAGAGCTTTGGTCTTCAGTGAATCAGAGAGCATTCTTGTACCTGTAGACTTAAGCAAAAAAAAAAGAAAACATTCAAAAATATCAGAGTTAGAATGTTTGAGACTTTTTGTCTCAGTAATCCGTTATTGAAAAATATCATTCTTGTTCTCCCCCTTTTTGTCAGCAATCAAAAAGTGTAAGTGATGTGCTAAAACGATAAGAGCAGAAAAACTTGTTATATTAAAATATTCAGAGCCAGACAAAAAACAGTACAGAAGATATGCAAAGAAAACATGAAAATGGCATGAATGAAAATCTAAGGTTGGGGAGGAAAGCGTGTGAACAGAGTCTCCAACATTGCTTTAATCTGATCAGCAGTTTCAGTCTGCTTGTGCACCATGCTGACTACTGTGTCTATCTTGCTGTCCTGCACATCCATCCTTTCCTTCATCTTCTGATCATTTTCATCCATCCTTTGCTGCAGACGGATATCATTCAGCTTCAGCTCTTCCAGAGTCTGCCTGTCCAAGGCAACTTGAGAAACATCAGAAGCAGGGAGCTTCTGAGAGCTTTCTGCAACATCTTCAGCTTGATTGGCTTTAGCTTGAATTGTCTGATCTTCTTCTGGCTGCACTTGTGAAGCTGGGCGCTTCTCAGACCATGGCTCACTATCCAGAAGGAGCACTTCTTCTTTCATCAGCTGACTTCCAACTTCGTTCAGAAGCTTGCTGAAATTCTGCTGTGCTTGCTCATA